GGAAATCTTACTGCAGATGTGTTTGGCAGTTGTTCAGCAAATGAGAGGGGAGAGGAGAAAGGGGCAAATAAAAAGACACGTGTAGATACTCTTTAAGCTCTCAAGAATTTGCACAACAAATGTGATCTAATTGCAGATATCTACTTCTTCATTTTAGTTTTTTGAACAATTTGATGAAGATGAAATTGGAGCCTTGGATAATGTGGAGTTAGAAGGCTACATTAACACAGACAACGCTCGTTTGCAGGAAGTCCTGAATGATTACTACAAAGAGAAAGCAAAGAAGTATGTATTCCCGAAAGTACTGCTTCACATAAGTAGTTATGTAATCCTGTGTTTATATAGAAAGTTTCGGTATGTTGTTTCCAGTTCATGTGCTCAAAGATTACATCGCACAAAAAACCAGCTACGTATGAGTGTTACCAGTTTTTCTTATGTTACTGAGTGTCAGTCCTAACTTACGATATTATAAAACTAAGTGGAGGCATTTTGTTAATTTCTATGAAATTATGCTCCTTTTGTGTAATTGTATTGAATTCAGTGTAAGTAATATCTAGAGGCATTTTTCCTTTCCCTTTTTAGTGTAAGTTACCTTGGCCAAGTATATTCTGTCTTGCAGCTGATTCCACTAGCTACATGATAATACATTTGCAGGCAACAGTTGCATGGGTACCACTGTTTGGAACACTGCAAAAATCTGTGCTTATAAGGCAACTACATGTAGTTAAGGCTGTGTTTCCACGGTATATTCACTTTGTCTTAAAGCAGGTGATACTGTCTCAGAGTTAAATGGGTAAATGTTCTCATGTTGGTCTTGCGTTTCCTGATTGAAAGGAATGGTAATGTGTGCCTTGTAGTGAAAGAACACTGGTCACTATTAGGGTACATAATCACCTCTAGAGCTGCCTTGCTTGGAGAATGGAAAGCATATTCTCTTCTCTTCCTGCCCTCCAGTCACAAATGTTTTGTGCCACATAATTTTTAAATGTGGAAATACTTCTTTTTTCACTATGTCTCTTGTCCTAATGGTTTAGTTTATTTTGGGGATGCTTGCTTAAGGAAACTTATTTTTGCTGCAAGTTTCATTTGGAATGGCTTTGTTTGGTTTGGGGTTTTACTGAGGGGAGACTGGGTTTACATAATTACACATTTTTCAATAAAAGATTTTTTTTTTTTCCTTCTCTGGACTTCAAAGTTGTGTAAAGTTGGATACTCTTGAACCCTGTGAAGATTTAGACTCTCCTCTGAATGAAGACAGTGATGAAGAAAAAGAAGACATAGTAAGCGTGGTTGTTGAGGAACCAAAAGAGAAGTGGGATTGCGAATCCATTTTGAGTAAGTATTTTGGAGTTTGCTTGTTTGTTCCTAGGATTTCAAAGTAAACAACAGGTGATCTCAGAACTTTTCTAACAATGCTTTAGGTAAATTGGTTTATACTTCTAGAGCACAACAGCAGAAATTATTGCTAGATAAAACTACTGCTTTTGTGTGGATAACTTAATTCTTGCAATTTTATATCTTCAGAGACTAAGTAGTAGTACAATTCATAATAAATTTACCTAATTTCTATGTGCAACTCTTTCTTCACTACCTTTTTTTTTTTCCTCTTCTTTAGGTACATACTCAAACTTATATAATCACCCCACACTTATTAAGGAGCCATCAAAGGTAAAATTATTAAATTTATTCTGAGTAACAACTTGGCCTGGGAAAATTTGACAGAAGTGGTTGTTTTTTGAATGTATATCTGTTTTTAAAAGGAGAGAGCAGACAAGGGGATTGTGGTGGTGTTAGCCTCTGGTATTACATTTTCACTGAAGAAGAGTTTGGATATATTTTTTTCTATTAGAAGGACAATTCAGGAAGTTCCACGTTTCTGTAACAGCTAGGCAGAAATGCAGAGAGCAGAGAACTTAACTTCTTCTCTGTGATACACCTTTGTGTAATCTGTGTCTCACAACCATATACTTGATTTTAACCTTTTCCTGGAGATAGGCTTGTATTTCTCTTCTACAGTTTGAAACAATTTATTCAAGTTCTTTGGCTTTCCAGACGTTCCCCATCATTAGGGCACAGCTTGATGTTCCAGATGTGTGAGATATTGAAAGGAAACCTTTTTCTTGAAAGCTTATAAAGGAATATTAAGTGCCTACATGAGTTCTTTTTTTTTTTAAGTCATATTTAAATAAAAGGGAAAAGAATCTTCTTCTTGTGCTGGGAGGCCAGGTTCTGCTCACAGCTGTGTTTGATTTTTTTATTTTGGGATTAATGTGCATTTTTCTGAGGGAAGAAAATAGGTAGCTTATGTGTTTATTATTGTTAAATCTGAATCTTACATTTTTTATACTGATAAGTCAATGCAATCTGCACTTCTTGGAGAGAAAGCTAGGGACCGTTAATACATATATGCTCTCTATTTTAGCCCAAACCAATAAAAATTTCCCAGAAGACCGGAATTCCTCTACATATCTTGCCTCAGAAAGGTCCTACTGCTAAGCAGGTTGAACGCATGCAAATGATTAATGGCAGTGACCTGCCAAGAGCATCAACGCAGCCTCGTTCCAAAGATGAGAGCAAAGAGGATCGCAAAGCTAGAAAACAGGCAATAAAAGAAGAGCGAAAGGTATGCTCTATTTTAAATAAAACCCTGCAAAAACATGGTATCTTATCTGAATTCTGTCTTACAAACTTCTTTTAATGCTCATTGTGTCTGGAAATTAATGGGGAAAACTTGCTAGTCTCAAAGGACTAATTTTTGCTTCTTTAAAAAAAATTGACTGGAAAGAAAGCCTCATAATTTTGTCATCCTAATATCCTGTATGGAAATTCTGGTCTGTTAATGTGGCCACTATTACATATATAACTTCAGAAGGAGCCCTTCTATTTCCTTATTATCTAGGGAAGCAAAGAAAACAGTTATGATGTTTCAGATCACTCGAAGTAAAAGGTCTCTGAAAGAAACATGGAAAAATCTAATTGGCCACAATGTTGTACTAGTTGATTTATTTAGGAACAGCAATTGTCAGCATATTGGAAGCTTCAGCTAATTAAAGATTATAATCCTGGTGGTACACATAATTTGACTACTATTAATTAGTGTCATAAATAATATTATTGTCCAGATTGCTGCTCTTTTCATTATCTAGAACTGTAATTAGACTGGTTTTGTTTTGCATGTTATGCCTATTTTGCAAACTTGTAATTATTTTTATGCACAGGAACGCAGAATGGAGAGGAAAGCCAATAAACTAGCCTTCAGGTTGGAGAAAACAAGGCAAGAAAAAGAGTTGCTTAATCTGAAACAGAACGTTCAAGGACTGAAGCTGTCTTGATGAAACTGAGAAACTTATTGTGGAGACTTCCTTAAGTTTTCATTTGCATTGAGAAGGCAATTGCTAACTCAAAGCTTTGCCAGTCATGCAAAGTGGGTTATCCACATTTTACTGTAACAAGAAGCAGTAACTTGTCATTCTTTCTGAAATTAAGTTATACATAAAGCAATGTATTAGCAATGTCTATTCTGTCATGAGTGACATGGGAGCTGTTGCAAAGTTTCAGCACAGTAGAAATGTATTAAAATTATAAAAATTATTTTTCTTACAGGCTATCACTGGACAAAGTTTTATATATATATATTTGTTGAATGTATTCAACAAATTGGCAGAATCCTACAGATTTGATCTGATTAGATTCTTCTATTAAATTATTACAGTTTACAAAGCAACGTATCCGTTTATGTCTTCTCTATACTGATGGCTAAATATAGTGCCTTGATATAGCACAGTTTTGTAAGTCAAGGAGTTTTCACCCACTCCTTAGTTCTTTTCTGGGTTGGTTATTTTTTTGGTACTATTATGGAAGTTGTAAAGTAACTTTTTGTCAACAGAGGTGTCTGAAAAGCTGTCGTGTAGCTGGACATCCCTGTTACCTAACCTGAGTTTTAAATTTCTTTGCAAATAAAATCTGTCACAAGTGTTGCAGTTGTGGTAGTCAGTGGCCCTTACTGTTGCCGTTGAAATTAGCTTTGCTGAAAGTACTCGGTCTGAAGAGTATGGCGAACAAAACAGCAGATACTTAGGAAAATACTGCATGTTGCAGATCGCCGTTGTCTTGATTTTCCTGAAATACTGTTCTTGCATCATTTGCTTATATACAAAGTTATGACCCTCTGCAATTGTTCCAAAGACTTTCTGAAGCTGAGCAGAGGGCCGGTATCTTTAGCCTTGGTATCACCTTAAATTTCTGTACTGCGCATGTGATTTTGATAGTGACTAGTCCATACAGGTGAATGAAATGAACAGAATTGGTAGTGAATCCTTTTAAATCACTGTGTATTCATAAGAAACCCTCAGCTTTAGGTCTTTAGGACTATAGACTGAGCAGTCTTCTGCCTTTGGGTGAAAAGTTAACCATTTTACTGGTAAGGAACACATCAGTAGGGTGGCTCAACTATTAAATTCAAAGCGTCTTTATTATACCTTAAATAGTTTTGTGAAGATGGTGACAAGCTAACAGAAGGACTGATGTGGCCTTTTAATGTAGAGAAACAATTCAAAGTACTTGTTTTTATTGGAAGAAGGTATTTATAATACATTTTAATTGATAAAGTAACATGGTTTTGGAGAAGGGAATACACAGGGATTTAAGTCTGCAAGTCTCTTGATCACCGCTCAGAAAACTGAAGCGTCAATCCAGTATTCACATCTAGATTAAGCCTACATTTTCTAAAATTATTCTAAAGTCTGTGTTAACCAAATCAGTAGAAATTGTCAGTAAGATTAGAAGAAGTTTCAGGGTTTTTGTTTAGCTGATATCTGTACTAGTTTTCATATGTTTCACAGGCTTCAGCAGGGTCTGCCTGTGTCATAACTGTTAGTTCTGTAATTGCTGTTGCATGGTAACTCAGCTGTGAGCTTTTGAGTAATGAAGCCTAATCACCTAGCACTCATGACTCCTGACAACAACACAGAAAAGGAAAGTTGAGAAACCATTAAATTGGGATGAGTCAGATACCAGGAAAGGAGTTAAATGGAACAAGTGAGTAGCAGATGCCATTGAGTGGTTTGGATGGAATGTGAGTTTGTGATTTACTGAAAAGGAAAATCTTTGAAGGACTGCTCATATTCTTCACTAGTCATTCACAACTCATCTGCTGTTGTGCATGTCTAAAGTAGCTAAGCTTCTGTGGCAAATTGTCCTTTTTTCCTGACTTCTCATTGCCGATTCAGTGATACTGTGCTTGTACCTAAATTCGTTGTTTGGTTTTTTTTAAAGAAAAAAAAAGCTGTATCAGCCAAAATCTTGAGGGGATGAGAACAGAATAAAAGAGGTGGGAGAGGCAGAGGAAGATGCTTGAAAGGAAGAGCCTAGCGCGGACTAAGCACAGACACACAGATGTGTGGGAACAAAAGTGGAAAGACATTTAAACAAAGGCAATAGAATAAGTGTCAAAAAGGTTACAGAATTGCTTTGTTCTACACTTGTAGTCGATGAAAGACTGTGGTAACTTAAACTCTGTGCCCTGGAGTAATGTGAAATCTGAAGGAAAAAGTAGGAAACAAAAGCACATCTGCTACTGCTCAGCAAGACAAGGATTTCTTTTGTTTCAGCAAAAGCAGGTAAGGAGTGCTTCAATGAGAAGTCTTCTCTGCAGGTTACAAGTCTCATGAAAAGGGTTCTTTGTTACCGTTCAAGTTTTCCTAAAAGCTGTTTCTGTTTAATACAAGAAATGTCCCTGCTCTGAAATGAGAAGATGAGACTTCCATGTCTTCAGAAGGTTATAAAATTACTTTCCATGGAACTTAAAAAAACCTATTTTAAAAAAAAAAAATATTTAAAAACAAAACCCACAAATTTGACATCTACAGAGTAAGATCTTGGAGTGCTGTTGAAACACATCTTGGAAACGTTCTGTTTTAAGTATGAAGACTGTGTCACGCTTAGTGTGCCACCTGTCACTTTCTGAAATAGCGATGGTTTACCCTGAGCCGTCACTGGGCACCGCTCTCTCTGGATGGCTTACAAACGAAATGGACGCAGATTGCCTGCTCTTGCTTCCCAGTGCCCCCTCCCTGAATTTAGATGAACTTGAGTACTCTTCCATCTCCTCGCCCAACTGTGGTGTCGTTGTGAAAGGATATACCTAAGCAGTCATGGAATACAAAAAGCTATCTGCTGTAGTAGATGAGAGCTTGTGCTTCATAGGAGCAAGGTAAGTAGGGTTGTTCTGCAAAAGAGAGCCCTGGCATGGGGCTGCAAAGTCCCTTTCTGACAAGGAAATACTGTTTCAGTGAGAGCTAGGTCCAAATGCTGACTGCTCTCTAGTCAAGCTGTCCCACGCTGTGTAACTGAGTCTCTTACATGGTTTGTATTTTGCATAGCCGCGCAAAGTCAAGATCTGATTCCTTGTAAAAACTGTGGAAGACATTTTGCACAAGATGTTCTGGTAAAACAATCTTATTTTTTTTTAAGGGGAATGTCAATGCATTTAGCTGAAGGGGGTGGTGAACTTGGGAAAGGAGGTGGCTGCTAGTAGAGAAATGGATTGAACACATGTTTAAAAGAGCAAATGATTTAATAACTGCTTTAATTAGTGAACTTGATTAGAGAATTAGTGAACCTCCACAGAAATGTTGTGATTTAATCTGCAGTCTTGCACTATCTTAATTTATCTGCTTGCCCAAAATCAGATGTTTACTATATCTTGCATTTAAAATAATGTGTTATCTCTTGGTGGGAAGAACATTGCTAACCTGAGGCTTCCTTTGTGTTCCGGGTTTCTAGGCAGAATTAATTTTTTAGGCTTCCTGGGAAAAACAGACTAATAAACCATCTGATAAGTAGTCCCTTTGACAGCATAATGTGGGCACCAGGCTCTGTTCCAAAGTCTGCTGAAGTGAATGAAAAGACTCCCCCTGACCTCCCCGATCCCTGGATTACAGACGAAATGGGTGGCTGCACAGTTTGCCTGGCACAACCCAACTGCAGGGTTTTTCTGCAAAGGGGGGGCTCTTTGCTGATCCTGTGGCTCTCTGGTAGATCTGATCAGCCCTGTAATAAAAGTAAAACCTTATTTAACAAAAAATAGACAAGAAAGATACACTGGAAACTGATTGACTATGAGTTCTGACACAAAGGTTGAACTACCCTGTGTTAGTAATTCCATGTTTGGTATCTCAGATCAGATGAATGATGAACATGGTGGTTTAATCTAGCAAAATCATTTGAAAAGATAGCTAGCTATGTTTTGAGGGAGGTGGGAAGTTTCTTGTCACTGTGAGTAGCATGAGATACGAGTCCTGTAGTGCCTCTCTGTGCAGGACTGGTATGCTCCTTAGTGAGCAAGACACAGGTGTCTGCTGCCCTCTTGGTCCTGCAGAGGAATCCTCCTCTCAAGTTTGCTGTCACAAATGTCTAGATACAGAAGATAAGGACCTGAAGCACATGAGTAGAAAGGTTCAAAGGGAAACGAGCATTTAGAAATGTGTGTTGTGGTAGGATGAAGTGCTTTTTGGCCCAGCTGAGCTGTAACCAAAATGCCTTGCTCAGGCAGCTGCTTAACTGCTATGGAAAGAGAGTGGGCAGCATACAAAAATTAATGAGATAATCAAGAATAACTGAGAACTGGAAAGGGGGATTAAGCAGAGGAAGACAGGAATGGACTTTTCAATTTACCAGCTGCAGATGGGCTCAAACAGGTGTGACGCACAGCATGAGAGAGAGAGGACATAGTTTGGTCCTTGCTTTCATGGTGTTCCTCACAAAGAGGATTGCCTGTCCTGTTGCAGAAGAGCCAGGCTGATGCTAAAATCTGAGACACTTCTGAACCTTAAAACCTCCTTTGTTGTGAAGTGTCTCTCTTCCACAAATTTGGAACTGGATATCTACCTTCCTAACATTTCCCTGTGCTCTCAGCTGCAGGTGTTATCCATTGTTTTCCTTCTGAGTTGTGAGGTTGTTGCCCGTAGAACAAAGAACACAAACTAACAGAGTGTCAGTTTATGCGGTGCTTTATTCAGGGCCCGGGGACCTGAGGACTATCGTCCAAAGTCAGGATCCCAAAGACCCTCATTCTGGTTTCAGCTTTTATACCTTGTTACAACTTAGCCTACGTGCAAAAATACAGTTTTCTTGGTTACAAACAGTTACATACATCATAGAGATAACGGGTTCAGATAACAGGTTACAAACAGTTACATGTTCCCCCTAGGCTATAAATCTTACATGCTTAGCTTGCTTAAGACTATGAGTTTCTATGAGTTTATTTATCTAACTTAACTCCCACCACCATAATTTATCTAACTTAACTCCCACCACCATAATTCCTTTGGTATGTTATATTTTAACTCTACCACTAACAACAAATCACTAACAACACTCTGCTATGCTCTGTTGAATCCTTTAAACATTGTTTCTGTCTTATCTATGCTCTGTTCCTAGCACAAAGTTTCCCAGGGCAGATTTCCCAATCAAGGCCTGCCCTAAAATCAAGCCTTAACATAACTACTTCTATCGTTATAACTCTATTTATCCACATACACTATTCTTAAAATATTTGATTTATTTAATTCAAATGTAACAAGGTTACATATGCTGGTAAGCAGCTGCTTCCTCTCAGCCTGGGGATGTCACTGTTTCAGTGGTGGTGATGGGGTGGACAGTGCTGCTGTTTGTCAGGGGAGCCCCCAGGCTGGAATACTTCTCTAAAGTCAAAGAACTAATAATGTAAATATCAGCTCCTTGAACAGGATCAGTCTATTCTCCCTCTTGACCAAGAAAGAAAGAAAACCAAGTCTCGTGGCGGTGGGGGAGTCCAACAGGACTACTCCTGTTCACAGATCCAGTCTGCTCTTCTCTGCAAGTCATTATTTGTGCTGGCCTTCAGCATGTCCCTGAGCAGAATGGCTTCTATTTCTTATTTGTGCTGAACTACAGCTGTACTTGGACAGCTTTTTAAACTTTTGCTGAACTCCTTCAGGAGTTAAACTGAACTCGAAATAAATACTGCTTCAGCTCCGTGCTCCTGAAGTAATTTTAAAGCCTGAGAAAGGAAGCATTATTAACAAAGCATGACTTCAACGTAGAAACAACTGTTTCTCTTTGTATCCCAGTGGCAACACGATCCAATATGCAAGAAAGTCTTCAACAAGAAGCGCAAGCCCTTCAGCTCTTTGAAGCAGAGACTGCAGGGAACAGAAATCACCCCTGCGAAAAGGCAGCCCCCTCAAAAGGTAGAGCTGACATTGTAGCGTGTGTGTTATCTCCATATGGAGTCATCTCCATATGAAGTCTTTCATTCAGTAATGCTATTGTTTCCTCCGAGGACAAAGCCTGGATGTTGTGGATGCGTCTCACATATGTACTTGACTAGGTGCCAAATTCTTTCCTCCTCCTCCCTGTGCTGCTAGTGTTTGAGAGTATTTCTCCGTTGAGAAGCCAAACTAGTAGGTGTCATGACTACTCTGGGCACATGAGCATCTCTGCTTTTCTAGAAAATCTGTGTATTTTAAAGACCATGTGAGGCTCTGACAGCTTCCTCTTCACTTAAATCTGAAAGAGAGCATGATCCAAGATGGTTGGTGCTTGAATGCCCCGGGTTGAACCTGAGAGCTGTCAGTTAACCCCAAATCTTCCACAGATGAAGCTGCAGAAATTCACTGCTATTGAACTCAAGGGTTTAAAAAACTTATTTTTACAGAGCTGGTTTTTTTTAGGCTTAAGCTTTTACTGAAACAAGTTGGGGTTTTTTCATGCATTGTTCGGGAGGAGGGAAAGACACATGCATATGCATGTGTATCATTTTACTCGGAAATGCCAAATCACTGCTGATTTCATATCCATGCAGACTGCTGTTGTAAAATGTCCTTTAAATTCAGTTGTGGAGAGAAACAGAAGTGTCTAGAGGTTTAAAGCAAGAAGAAGAATCTGACAAGTAGAGGAGAAGGGAAGGCATTGGTCACAGTGTCTTTTCTATTCCCTCTTAAGTGCCCTTTGGTCTGCTGGGGCAAGAAGTTTTTTTTGTTGGAGTGCATTGTTCTTTTATCCATCTTCTGGGGCTGTCAATAGACAGAAAAGGGGTAAATCAGCTTTCCTATGCCTTTCAAAAAACCCCAAATTTCTTTTGTTTGTAACACTTTTTCCTTTCCTTTGGAAAGGAAGAACTCTCACTCTAAGATTTTTCTCTATCCCTTGCAAGGGTAAGATATAGTTTGTGTCTTCCTGTATTTTCATTACAGAAACAGCCAGGGAAGAAATCTAACTGGAGGCAGCACCATGAGGATTTTATTAATGCCATTCGATCAGGCAAGCAGGTCATGAAAGCTCTGAAAGGGGGCCACCCTCTTCCACCTCCTCCCCCACCAAATATCAATCCAGGTTTGTGGTCTACTTTATCTTATTACTGATCTTTGGTAAGGCGGTGACCTCTTATTATCCACAGCTAGGTTTCAGTTTTGCACCCTCCGGACACAACACTACACGAACATTAGTTCCCTTCATACTCTCTAATTTTTAGCTGTACTTCTTGGCTCAAACTGAGTAGGAGTACAATGCAGAGGTGGTGACAAGCAGAAGAAAACTGTACCTTTTAAGTCTAAAGGCAGCAAATTTGGGATCTGATATTGGACAATGCTTTGGGAGGAGAATCGCGATGCCTGGCACAGGCTGTACCAAGGTATAACAGAGGGTGAAATACATCCTCTCACCATTCAAAGTGCACACAGGTTTCGCCACTCCCATGTGGTGGTTTTTCCACTGTCCCCTTCCCCACCCAACTGTGCAGAGAAGGGGAGTAATTCAGAAAAAGATGAATCTGGTTTACTACTGTTGCCAGGTGTGGTCTCTGGGCAGAGCTCACTGTGTTAGAAGTTACGGATCCCAGAAGATGCACATACAGCCAATATTTCTCACAGTGTGTGATTTATGAAATGTAGAAGCAGTCCTGGAAAGGGTCTCAGTGGAGTCCCATCTGCATTAGGAAGGTGGAGGGTGGGAGGGGGAAGCGGGGGCGGTCTGGGCTCACTTCCAGAGCAGGAATTTGTGACTGATAGCAAAAGCAGCTGCTGTGATTCCAGCCCTTCTCCTCTTCTAGATGACAGTGGTGCTGTATAAGCAGAAGGACACATCTTCCTTCCTTGATTGAGGTCAAGCTTCTCTCAATTTCCACTGCTGAATTCTTTAATGACACTGTTATCTGACTCTACCGACTTTAAGAGTAAACCCTTCCCTTTCCTTCTCCCTCTTGGAGGAAACTGGGTTGTACAAGAGCAGAGGTAGTTGTGGAGAAAGGAACTGGAGAACTGCTTTTTAGAAAAGACAAATCACTGAGGGGTCTAGTTGGGGTGTATGTCTTGTACTACAGGACTGGAGAGAAACTACATGGATTGTGGGGAGGAGAGAGAGATACTCCCCTTCTTTCTCTTCCTCCTCCAAATAGAGCTCAAGCCTCAAAGCTCCCCATTCTCCCCTGAAGTGCCAGGTGCCCCTGCCGGTCTCTCCAAGCCAGGCATCTGCCCTCTCTTGTCCTTCCCTCCCCTGCATTCAGAACCATTTTGCCCACGCTGCTGGTCTGGGTCTGGCTTCTGGTGACTGCTTGGGCCACCTTTTTGGGGCTGTTACTGAGAAGCAATTTGTAAAGATGTTTTATCTCTAATATTAGGATAAGGACACTTTGGGTTGCTTTTGTAGAAGGCACTGAGTGAAGAGAAAGAGTCTGAGAACAGCAAGGGCAGTGCCAGGGCTGAATATGACTGTGTTGACCCCAAACACTGACCATTCATTGAAATGAGTAGGACTGCACCAGTGACAGATGTCACTGAACAGCTTGTAGCAGAATCAGGACTGTAATGGTGTCAAAAAGGACTCTAGGAAGCAATGCTCTGTGTTCCTTACAATGCTGTTTCACACCCAGAAACCTGGCTTTTGGATGTGCCTCAGCTGATGAGGCACAACTTCTTCATCAGTGTTTTGCCAAATAGCAATCTTAATGACCAATATATAAAAGTAGTCATAAAATCATTGGTTTCGGCTACTCAAGGAATTTCTAAATATTGCATTTGCTGCAGATGTGTTAATTGTGATGTTGGAGGGTGGGAATAAGGCAAAGATAATAAGATTTGCTTTTATTAATCCCCAGGGATTTATTTCTGAAAGCAATTACTGTTTGCTTGGTTAATACTGTAAGCATGTATTTTGGGATCCCAAGTGCTTTCTAGAGTTTTTTATTCTCCTGAAGTTTGGACTTTGGGAGCTGATGGGAACTCACCACAGTCCCCCGCTGATGGAGCCAGTTTTTGAGCTGCATCTTGAGTGCTCCAGTAAAGTAGGACAATTCTTCTCCTGTAGTGTATGAACTGTGACACAAGCTGTTCCTTTCATATGCCCAGATTATATTCAGTGTCCATACTGCTCCAGAAGATTTAATGAGCCTGCAGCAGAGAGGCACATGAAGTTTTGTGAAGAACAAGCTACCCACCGTGCCTTTGCTGCAAAGATCACCAGACAGGCTCTGGTAAGCAAACACAGTCACACCTATCTTGTCCTGAAGGTGGATTTGCCAAACTGTAGTTTATGGTGAGTAAAGACCTATATTAATATAAAACTTAAGATTCAAGGGAAGCTGGTAAACTCTTAAGACAAGATACATGCTGAATTACCAGCTAGGAGTTGTTCCCTGAAACTGAAGCCCTTTGTCTGATATAAGAAGTGACAGAATATGGTAGTATGAAAAAGTTGGACAACCATTTCTTCAGGGTCTTCTGCAATTGGATTCCACGGTAACAGCTGCAGGGAAGCAGAAACCTGACAGATTCTGCAATACAAAGAGAAAGCTCTTCCTGTTCATTAGGGCTCCCTGCTGTTGGCAAGCTTACCGCTCTCTGCAAATGTATAGCTGATGTACTCCCTGATCGCTAGACACAAGGCCAGAGGGCTAAGCCCCCTGGGGGAATAAAAAAAGTGAGCTACTTAGTAATTCTTGTAGTGTGCTCCTATTTTATTGTAGAAAAAACTGTAAACAGCTCCTTTAGGAGACTACTGATTTATTTTTATTGTTGTTAAAAGATGTTTGAGAAATCTTATTACTTTTGCCTATTTTAGGGAGGGGAAAATGGATTCCAGATGGGAGGGGGTTGCACCTTTTCCTGTTCCTTCCTAGCACTGCTTCAGCAGTGATTTGGAGAGTTGTCACCACACTCTGTAAGCTCCTTGCTAGAGTTAAATGTGCGTTGTGCATATTCTTTTACTAGGGCAAGCAACCAGTGACTAAAAAAACCCCAACCGTAACAAATGCTGTGTTACCTCTTCAGAAAAGAGTACAAGAGAGTGCCAATACAGACAAACCTGAGCCAGGTAAGGAGATAGTTTTGACGTATTTATGTTTTTCTTATAACAGACTCTGATGTATTTGAGGAAGGGGGAAGGCATTTTCAAAGCAGATCCTAGGCTGTGGAATCCAATCTTCTGATAGAATAATAAAGTTTGAAATTTTAAATTTTTTTTTCTCCTAGACCAGGCCTTGAAATGAAATCCTAAACTCATTTCCATTCAACACCTGTTAGAAATGAGATGGGTCAAAAATTTCCAAGTGGATGATGTTGATATTGAATGGCTTTCCAAGTAATTTTCCTGTTCTGTTGTGCTGAGTGTATTCACAGAAGTTTCCATGTGGGCTCTGAGGAGGGGCTTCTTAGCCTTTTCAATTAGAGGCCCTCAAACAGAAGCAACTCTACAGACCTAAAATAAGTGCCTTAGGTGTGAGGTTTCCTCAGTCCCATCAAGGACTCCATAACCTGTAATCTTTGTCGTTAAGATTTATTTGATCTTTTTTACCTTTTCTTAAGTCCATTTAGATGAAGCATCAAGATTTGTACATTGTTCATTACATATAACTTCCCCTCTGTTGCTCCAGCCTTAAAATTAACTCCACCACATCCCTAAGTTCTCTTTAAGCAGAATACCATCTAATGTGTTTGCTACTGGTAATCACGACCTATACTCAGTTTATGTTTAGAAGATGTTTTACAAAGTTATTTTAGTGGTTATTTGTAGTATAACCTGTGAATTACAGCATGTACTGCTTTTTATATCCATATCTTTGATCCCTATGTTTCTGGGATTTATGTTGAATTTATGTAGGTTATAATGTTTTATGGCAAATAATTTTTTAAAATCATGATCCACAGAGACCTCTCCAGAAAGACAGCAAAAAAACAGAGAATCTTTGGGTGCATCTCCTGGAAAATCTTCAGGAGAGTTGGGGTAAGAAATACGGTTTTTGTTTCAACATCGTAATATAAAGGGACCTTGTTTGCTTTTGTGTATATGCAGTATCCTGTAGATGTGTTGCAGTATGAATTTCTTTGCATTAAATAAAGCAAACAATTGCACTGAAATTTTTTGCAGGGCTCCTCATGTCCCCAGTACAGACTGCTGAGAAAATTAATTTTGGTATTAAATGTTCTTTGGTTTGGAGCTGCTCCATCTCAAGTAGGCAGTGCCTGTGTTCTGCTGTAAAAGCCATCTTGAGAGCATTTGTTTCTTTCCCAGACCATGTCGTTTGGTACTTCTGCTCTTTAGACCATGCAGTCAGTGTTGTTCCCACCTGGGGCCATGCAGTCATGTTAGAGCAGCACGGTGGCCTTCAAGCCCCTGCTTAAGGTGGTTGTGGTGCTGTTGTGTAAGGGGATGGCTCAGATGATCAGCATCTTGCATACCACTGCAGAAAATGGGACCCTGGCAGGGAATGCAGCCAAGACAGATTTCCTGTAGCTGGCAAGGTATTTTGAGTTGGGAGATGAGCTTGTAGGAGTGCTTGGAGCGTGGGATGTCTGGTAATATGCATAAAACAACCTGTTGCAGAGATTCACATTCAAAGACTTTGCAGGGTCCATCTATGTGGAGTTTTGCTGACCTTGATTGCTGTTGGTCCATGGCAAACCACCTTCAATTGGGAAAGTCTGCAATGGGTATGGGAGTGTTCAGTCCACAGTGCCATCACCAATTCTTTGACTTTGCCAGCTACAGGAAAAACTGCTGAGAGCACCCAGTGGTCATATCTGGTGTTCTGCACTCCCTGGATTACCTGTGACTGTGTTAACAGTGTAGTAACTCCTACAGTTATCATGCAGGGTCTTGCATACCACCAGCAGGGATTCTCCAGGTTTAGTCACTGAACTCTGAAGCTCAGGGCTTGATGGGCTTGGGGAGGAGGCACCTTTTTCCCAAGGGATGCTGGTGAGTCCAGGTATTGCTAGTGTTGTAGTTGAAGCCAGCTGACAGAGGCTTGGGACAGCTGGTGACTCCAGCAAGTTCACAAGACAGATGTGCACACTAGCATCCAAAATACAGGACAGAGTCTTGTATGTCCCTGGAAACTGTGGAAGCAACAGGCCTGAGTGAGCTTGTAGATGCTATGCTGTCAGCAACCACTGCTGCGTTTTCTATAAAACTTGAGCTTTGTGAGGTGCTTTACAGAGCACTCGGGGCTGGTGAGAAATCAGTTGCAGTGCTACCCAAGAGTGCTTTTAGACTGAGAAAGCAGACATGAGAAACTGGCTTTGAGTGGTGCAAATAAATGTTCTTGTTATTAATGTGCCTGGAAATGGCTTCCAGGATGAGCTGCTCCATCACTTTCCCAGGGATCGAGGTTTAATGTTCTTAGATAAAAATGGAGTAAAATATAAAAGCTGTTTCTATACAAATAACAAGTATATGACTTGTTGCTATTTTCAGACCACAAATGCACAACAGAAGATAGGGTGGCTGGTCAGCAAGGATATCTTAAGGTTTTCTTCTGCTGCATTACGGAAGACCTTAAGCAACACAATTTTCCAGCACCTTATCCACCTAAAGTGCTACAGCTACTACATTCAATAAAGTAAGCAAACCGAAATTAACTTTTTTATTTTCACCTGGACTACAAAGTTTATTATGCTATCCTTTTTAAAGTGGTGAGATTATTTTTATCAGTTGCCAGAACTTGATTGCCTATGATTGCCTATGAAGGGATGGATATAACCAGTGGTTCACAAAATCATAAAATGGTTTGAGTTGGAAGGGACCTTAAAGCTTACCCAGTCCAACCCCCTTGCCATGGGCAGGGACACCTCCCGCTAGACCAGGTTGCTCAAAGCCCTGTCCAGTCTGTCCTTGAACACTTCCAGGGAGGGGGCATCCACAGCTTCCCAGGACAACCTGTGCCAGTGTCTCACCACCCTAACAGTAAAGAATTTCTTCCTATTATCTAGTCTAAATCTACACTCTTCCAGTTCAAAGCCATTCCCCCTCATCCTATTGCTACTTGACCTGGTAAAAAGTTTCTCCTCAGCTTTCCTGTAGGACCCCTTTAGGAACTGGAAGGCTGCAATAAGGTCCCCCTGGAGCCTTCTCTTCTCCAGGCTGAACAGCTCCAACTCTCTCATTCGGTCCTCGTAGGGGAGGTGCTCCAGCCCTTTGATCATCTTCGTGGCCCTGCTCTGGACCTGCTCCCGCAGCTTGTTGTCCTTTTTGTGTTGAGTGCCCCAGCACTGAATGCAGTACTCCAGGTGAGGTCTCACGAGAGCAGAGCAGAGGGGCAGAATCACCTCCCTTGCCCTGCTGGCCACACTTTTTTTGATGTAGCCCAGGATGTGGTTGGCCTTCTGGGCTGCAAGCGCACACTGCCAGCTCATGTTGAGTTTTTAATCGATCATGAAGACCAAGGCAAATAAGTTGTTGAGCACCTTCATCTTTTCTATATCCCTTGTGACCAGTTCTCCATTTTCCTTCTGGAGAGGGTCCGCATCTTCCCTAACCTTCCTTTCATCACTGATGTACCTGTAGAAATTCTTCTTGATCCCCTTTATGTCCCTGGCCAGACTTAATTCCATGATTAGTGATGGAGTGGTGATTAGGAGGAGTGATGAAAAGACTACCTGTGCCCCTGAGTCCTTCACTGCTGCTCCCAGTGCCTTGTAGTCCCTCTTGATAGTCTTCAGATTACTCACAGCTGTGCCACTGGTGCCCATGTGAAACAAAGCAGCAGATAGCAATCAGGGACATACAAGGCCTGGCAACCTCTCTGTATCATCTCTGATGCAAGCCCCTGGCAAGCAGCAGACTTCCCTCAGCTCCCTGTGGCACTTCCCTGCCAGAGGAAACCTCCAAATCCTCCATTCCCGAGATCTGCTGCTCCAGTTCTGTCCAGGCTGGCTCTGAAGCAGCTGCTCTCGGTGACATTCAATGGTTCATTCAATGGTTTTAACAAAATGTAGGAAGATCCAGTATTACGAGATTCTTTTTTTCTTAATGCTTTTCTTTGATGTATTGAAAAAGACAATGAACATTTTGAAATTTCATGTATATATTTAATAGACTCTTCCAGTAAACAATGATAAACCATAGTGATTGATAAGATTGATAAATGGCCGGGGATGCTGTGCATCAGCTTCAAAGCACTTCAAGTTCAGACTTACTAAAACCAAATCTCATTCTTGCATTAAAAACTTCGATTGCCTTTAGAAATTTATGTCGTGGAGGCACAACCCTTCTTATTTTTTGGCCACTTGATCTATTACCAGCCTTGGATCATCTTGCATAAACTTTCAATGTTGCAACATGTTGGGGTTCTTATTTTTTTTAGTCCAACAATTTCCAATAAGGCCTTAAGGTAAAATCCCTAAGGAATTTTCTTGCCTATTAAATGTTTATTAAAGTAAACAAAGTTGATGATAAAGGAAATTAATTAAGTTGGACACAGCAATAATAAGTACCAGAATTTGCAGTGTTTAATTAAACCCTGCTTAGGCTCTAGCTAATAGTGAACAGATAAAAATGATGATACTGAAGGAAATGTTAATTCTACACTCTTAGAAAAAACAGTGGGCATTAAATTTGCCCAAATATATTAAATATATTAAAGCAATGCTGCTTAGCCTTTTTTTCAATCCAGGAAGGAGACAGGGCGGGGGAAGCGATGCTGTGCAATGTTATCGGAGTTGTTTTCTTTTACAACCAAATAAATGAATTTGCAGAAGTTAGAGCAAATTTTACTGTAGTTGTTGCTGCTGCTGTTGTTCTCCCCCTCCCCTCATTATTTTCTGTGTGTAGAAGTGTTTGATTTCACAGTTCATTTTCCAGTATCTTACAGAAAATACCATTATAGGGGCAGGGACTGTGTATTGAAGGACAGGACTTAAAAGTTCTACTTTTTTTTTTTTCAATAAATTGAGTACGTTTTTGTACGAGACCAAATTTTTGCTAAGTTTGGCTATTTTATGGTAGCACTTCATTATAGTAATACTGTTGTTTAGCTGCCACATATTGCTCTGCTTCTATGGATTTTCAAGCAGAGTTCAGATAAAAGGGTATTTTTATCTCTATTAGGATGTGTGGTAAAATATTCTAAGATCAGATCTCTTTGTTTCATCTCTTAGCTGCTATGCCATGGTCTATCCTACCATACCAGGTCTCTGCCTTTGCACACTCCTCTCCCATTTGGAGGAGGAATGGGCTGTGCCAGAGAGGAGGGAGGACTGGACACCAGTTGTGCTACCTTCTTCCTCTACCATACCCCCATTCTTATGCCTCAGCTACTCCTAGTCTCTCAAAAATGCTCACAGAAGTCCCCCTTAAAAAAAAGGTTTGAGTAAGTCCAGTCCTACTTTAAGTACTAGATGATTCAAGGGTATCACTTGAATTGTGAGAATTTTAAAACAAGACAATTTTTCTGCAAACGTAACCTTTTGAAGTAACTCGCCTTCTTTTGTGACATAATCAGCTTCCTCTACATTTATGATGTGAAGAATCTGCAAAAAAGAAATTTAAATGGATTGAAGGGTTAAAGCTGCAGCATTACACACTTAAGTGTTTCTGTGTTTTACTTGTAGACATCACTATCGTGCTTTTTAAGCATTTTAATATCAAAATTGGTTTTCTTTTTACTTGAATGAGACTTGGTCTTTAACCTGTAGTTACATACGATAAGCATCTCTCGCTAATGCATCTCTCTGCGCTTCAGAAGAGGCCGAGGTCAGGCAGCAGCGCCTCTCTTGGCAGCTCAGAGCTCGGGCACCCTGCTCCAGTGGCACAGCTAAAAAAGAGCGTGGGCGCCAGTCTAGCTCGGAGTTTGCATAACATTTTCTTCTTAACATCATGTTTTAATTCAAAACCAAGTATTTCAGTAATTAGTTACACCTCTTATGGAAGCACAAACCAAAATTAAAAAATGTCTACTAACAGCACATGATCAGGCAGCGTTACAAAATTTATGGTGGTTTTTTTTGTTGAAGCCAAGTGAATACAATTTGCACGAAAACAAGGAAAACAATGCAGTAAGTGAATATACACACACTCTTCCAAGTCTGGATGAAAATACAAGCCTAGCTGTAGAATGTGCATATAACATTGTTTGCAACCTTTCCCCTGTTCTGGAACTCATAATTTAAATAACCACTAACTGGGCATGACTGTGCAGTACCTGCTCTTCCTCCCTGTTGACATTGCAAGACTGATCTTGAAAATTCTTCTGGTTTGCCTTATGCCAAAAGTTTTTGTAACAAACAAAGAGCCCTCAACAGTATGTCTGAAGAACATATTCTCGCATGAACTGCAATAATACAACCTTTCCTTACTCCAAGTATGGATAAACTAGTAAGAATACTCGGATCATCGTAGTTGTACAATGTCACTGTAGTTCATTAACAGCAAAACAGCAATCATTTAAAAATACTTTTTTATTTGAAGCTGTCTGGAAATACTCCTGTGATTAACGGGGGAGAAGAGAACATGCCTGCTTTATGCTGTATTTGTAATGATCATTAGGTATTAGTAACTCTCTTTGGATTTAATGGAACAGTGATTAGCTCTCAGGGTTTGAGAATTTACTCAAATTCATAAAATCGGTGTCTGTTTTAACTGCAACAGAATCCATTAATAACTGCATCATCTGCTAAAACCAGGAGTGTTTATTTTTGGAACTATCGTTTAGGCAAGAAAGTAAATTGTGAAAAGTTTGTTGGTTTTTTTAATGACATCTACCAGGAGATGTAATTTTTTGCAGCTTCTGCTACAAAAGCTTCTGATACATCAGGTGATAGGACTGTCACATGAATAACACTGTCAACTGAAATCTACATGGACAATTTACCCCAGGAAATAAAGAAAAGTCTCCACAGTTCTGGTTTGGAAGAACCAAGGGCTGGAAGGCCAACTGCAGGGATCTCAGTGCTACCAACAAAATCCCTGTGATTAAAATGGCCTCGACAATTATCACACCCACTAATTTCAGGCAACACTTGTGAGGCAGATTCATAACCTGGTTTTGAACAGGGCCCCGTGTCAGGTCAGCACCACAACCCTTCTGGGTGGCCCTGCCCCTGGCCCCACAGTGGTCACGCTTGGTCACCCTCTCCCTTGGGCCAGGGTTGGCTTTCCATGGAGAAATCCACATTTCAGATGGCTATCATTAGTAATCGTTTCCCAGACTAAACAAAGGCCACATTTGTCAACAAAAGGTGAATAAAGGCCCCATAAGTGGGAAGCATTATTTTTTTTATTGAGTGTTAAATCAATCATGCTGTTGACCCAATGTGATAACATATGCCTAAATTTAAGGAAATGCTTAAGTGCTTTACTAGAAAGAGAGAGAGAGAGAGAGAGAGAGAGAGAGAGAGAAAGTATCTTAATACCTTGCCAGATCCAGCTTTAAGTAAAAATTAATGTTTTAATCTAACCTTTGAGACAATTCACTTCCCATTCTGAAAACTGCATGTATACAAGACATCAGTTCTTACACAGTCATGCAGAAGTGGCAATTATTTCTGGCCCTAGGAAGAAAATGCAGGAGATGCACACAGCTGAAGTGCACTTCAGAAAACAAAATCTAGTTAGATGTAATCACAACAGTGAGGATCTTCGTTTAAAAAAAAAAAGGTGAAACAAGAAGGTAAGATTTACTCTTGGAATGATTCTGATAAAAATTAAAGACTCATAAAGTTCAGTAATTAAGTGTTTAACAGAAATCTATGTGATGTTGATAAATCATTTGTTACGTTTGCCATGTGTATAAATTTGTTGTGATTTATGGCTCATTATTTTTCTGTGATTTCCCCCTTCTTCCCATTCACCCTACCCCTATTTCCCTACCGCAGCAGCCATAGTTTTATTGTGCCTGTTATGATGCTTTGCTCTCATTGAAGATATTTATTCACTTCTTTGTGTGAAAGGTAAGCAACAAAAATAGAGGGTGTTGAGGGAAATATGTTAGTTCTACTATCATCATATGCTAAAAAACTAATAGTAGTATGAAAAATAGAGCTTCTTCTTTATTAACATCCTGAATTTAACTACCATGTTTATAAACATGCTTTGAAAATGTTTGGGGCAAAATTCTCTTAAAAAAAACCCAAAAAACAAAAAAAAACCCAAAAAAAAATACCAAAACCACCCCATCCTAACAGATTTAAGTAAGAAGCACAGTCTTTAAAAAAAGAAGGAAAAAAACCCCAACCCATAGCAATAGTTATTTGAAGGCGTGGTGAAAATGAGGCAATGTTACAGAATTTGTAGTGGATGGAAAGGAACGAGGAAGGTGATGCAGCTGGTTTATGGCCATCCCACCACCAGCTGCTAGCTGAAGACCTTGCTGTTGGCTGAGGCCATTCAGCCTGTGTGATGGTTCCTCCAGACCAAATGCCATCGTGATGTCCCCAGTAGTGTTCTGGGTGTCACCTGGCGGGAGCTGCCAGAAACCCATCACATGAGTGAGATCCATGAAAGGCAGGCTCATAGTTTCAGCTGCTGCCTCTGTCTCCTTGTGCACTGGGTACTTGTTAGTATCCCCTACAGGCCCTGAGGAAGCTTCTTCCAGACTAATTTTGTGGAGCGATAGAGGTTCTGGTAATGGCAGGTCCTCAAGAAGATGCACATTGTAACCCTTGACATCCACTTTTATCGGTAGATTCTTGAGGGATCCTGCTGCAAATGAGGTAGAACTAAGGTCGTATTTATTAGGCTGATGAAGGTTCAGGTTGGCAGGAACAGCTGTTGAACACGGTGTGGGATGGACAGCTGGAAGGCTGTCTGCACAGCCCATCCTTTGCAAATGAGGAGAAGGTTCAGAAGGAAGAGCAGTTTGTAAGCTTGGCTGGGAATGAAGATGTGAACAGTTGTACTCCTCTGATTCTGAACTATTCAAAATCCCATTCTGCCCAGAGACCCTTTCAGGAAAAGGGGACAGCATGCTGGCATCTTCCTTCAGTCTGAATGGAAAAAGCTGGTCAAGGAGACCCACTGAGTCACCGTTCTGCAGCCTGCTCTTCAGCAGTTCTTGTGGATGAGTCTTCCTAGTATGACGAGTCAAGTGGTCCTTCCGCCCAAACCTCTGGGCACAAAACTGGCACAGAAAGTCTTTGCAGCCTGTGTGAACTACCATGTGACGCCGCACATCTTTACGGGTATAGAAGTGACGCTCACAGTGGTCACACTTATGTTTCTTTTCCTTGGCATTGCCAGTTGGTTTCCCTGCATGGCTTTTGAGGTGCTCCAGCAAAACTTCAGTACCGCCAAACTCCTGGGCACATACCCTACAGGTAAGGTCCCCACTGGTGGCTGCATGAAGAGCCAAGTGTCTCTTATAGCCTAACTTGGTGTTGTACTTCTTGCCACATTCTTCACACTTGAAGGCCATCTTGTTAGGGTCATGAGTCTGAAGGTGATTCTTTAGATGGTCTTTCCTGTGAAAGGTCTTTTCACAGTAGCCACACTGGTGAGATTTCTGTGGAGAATGAGTGGCTGAGTGCCTAAGACAAAAAAAGATAGTTATTTGCATTTACATTCACTTTAGTACACAGCACAGCTTCAAGTCTTGAAAAAACTGGCACTCTTGAAGGAAGGCATTTTCACAAATTCTTAGATTATTATTAAAGCCTAACTTTACTGGGTGGAATGTGTGAATCATAAAGCATAGAGAAGGTTAAAATTGCTTAACATGATCTTTTTGAGTAGCCACTGCAATTGAGGGAGACTAGTTTTCTCCAATTCTACCACAACAGGAATAATAGAAACTGGAACTTTAGGATTAACTGTCACTAGGACACCACAAAGAAAAAAGATGTCCTTGTTGGGTTTTTTTCCCCACACCCCCACCAGAAAAGGAGTGCCTTCAGAGCTGTACCTGAGTAGTTTATATTTGGAAATGAAGGCTTTTGTGCATCCGTGCTGTGAACACTTGTAGGGGCGCTCCCCTTTGTGCACGTAAGTGTGGACCGTGAGCTTGTCAATGGAATCAAATATCTTCCCACAGAGGCGGCAAGGGTAACTGTCGGGCTGCTTCACTTCTCTTCCCTTCAGCAGTGAAGACCGACCGTTTCTCCATTTAGGTATAAACCTCACAAGAGCATCACAAGCGCTTCCTGAGCTGGCACAGCTGAGCTTTGCAGCAGAGGAACAGGAAATGGTCCCAAAGCACTGAGCAATGCTTTTGCCTAATGCTCCTCCTCTCAGTTTCCCTTTGAGTTTGCTTTTTGCTTTTACAGGTCCCAATTTATTTGGTGGTCTGAACCTGGTGGCAAGGACTCGGTCTTTATGGATGCACTGGTGAGATTCCAGCAGAGCAAAAGTTGCAAAAGTGTTTCTACAGCTGGAGCATATCCAAGGGTCTATAGGCTCTTTCTGCAATGAGAACAGAAACAGGTCTTTCTTATTAGCCATACTAAGGAAAGTTCTTCTCACTGACTCTACATCTTCTCCTGGGCTTTCCCAAGACCTGTCATTGTCCTTGGCAATATTTACTCAATGTACTACCACACAGCTGTTCAACTGGAAATGGATTCTCCCTAGGAGACTACAAACTCGAAGGAAAAAAAATGGTTGCCTAATATCGATTTCCATGTTTTTGTTCAGTATTTACTGCAACAGTCCCGAGTCCTTCTCTTTTGTTTATCTGTGCTTACTGAATTTCAGTGTCTCTACATCTGTTCCTTTTATGGAATTACTCATAAATCTTAAGTCTTTCCAACACATTCCACTGTTGCTACCTTACTTCTGGCTACATCTAATGGCTTCACTGAATTATAAACTCAGGTGAGGAAGAGCAGCCTTTCTCTGACAAGCTGTTTGGTTAAGATTACTCTTTGCTTTGTGTTAGCCAACTACTCTATGGTCTACCCTAGCATTACCAAAGTTATATAAACAGAGAAAGCATGTAAATAAACCATAATTTACTATGTCTGGTGATGGTTTGAATGCAGATCAGGGGTACTTACTGCTACTGGAGGCAAAGCACAGACATCAGATTCTTCTTTAATGAAGATTGCAGAAGCTTCCATAAATTTGGCATAATCGGCAGCATACCATACTTTCAATTCTGTGTGGGGCTCAATTGGCTGTAAACAGAAGAAAATAGCACGTTTACTTGTGCCAATTTTCCTATACCAAATAATACTGAAGATTGGAGGGGATGGGGGAAGGGTATGTGCAATTTGTTGTCCTTACCCAAGTTGCATTCTTTGAGCCTGTTTAAACTACTGGTAACTTAGTTTCAAGATTCAAGCACTTTTTGAGCATTACTATTGCCTCAGCCCTCATGACCTTTGCTCTGTGAGCTGTATTTGTCTGTGATACCCAGACATCCAGCAGTCTATCCCAGCAACATCCCACGCCCATTCCTTGATGTCTGGAAGCCCACTGGATACAACACTTAACTACAGGGTACAGGCAAAGGAAAAATGCATTGTGATTTGCACAACAGCTTGGATGCCTCCTGGGTATGTTGCACTCACTGAGCATGGATGCAGAGTTGATCAATATGGGGATTGCAAGTCAAATGCGTGTGTTTCCATACACTGGCTCTAACGTGTCTGGCTCACGATGCATGTGCTTTATTGCACCTCTGCCCTCCTTTCGACTGAAGTCTTCACACATAGGATTAAGGGAGCCCATAATCTGCAGTCTCCCATCCAGTTATGCCTGCCCAAATCTTCCCTCTGACTGGACTATGACCTCCTCTGACAAACGCTTTTGGTCAATAACACAGCAAAGAGAAAAATAGGAGTGATTACACTCACTGGCTAAAGATCTATTAGTTATTTAAAAGCGAAGGAGAGAACTAACTTTGGGTCACGATTTATATGACTCCCTGGCTCTGCACACTATTTTCTTTACCTATAATAAAAAACAACACTGCTGTAACAGAAATAGAGCAAATCTGCACTGTACTTGTTTTATCTTAACTAAGCTAAACTTGTGCTACTGAAAAGAACAAACTAGAGCAGAAGGAGAGCAGCTGAGTCTTACTCCACAAAATCTGACATCTCAAAATACACTTACTTTATAACATCAGTGCTGGATAAGCATGGTAGGTGAAAGACAATTCAGACTGTGAATGCTGACAGGTAATTGTGTGTATAATATTGGCAACTGAGCTTTTGAACTCCCAAGAACAACCTAGTATGGGTTGGCTGCACTGTTTGATAACACCTGGCCTAAACAGAAATGGCATATGCAAAATTCTCCACTCAATAAACGACACGAGGCAGAGCCACCAACTAGGAGGCTGATCAAGCATTGTGCTCCTGCATATAGTCTATTTAGACAGAGAAAACCAAGCCTGGGGAGCTCCACAGAGACAAATGCCTGGGGATGCCCTGGAAACTTGGCCAGTGACACCTGGGACTGGTACCCATAAGCCTCTGCACAGCATGGTACTGTCATGACTTTCTGCCCAACACTCCTGGACCAGCGGTGATCTCCCCTGTGGGAAGCTAAGACCTAGGCAATGTGGCTTTGGAGGGAGAGCAAGGGCATCAGTGTGTGAAACAGTCAAGTAAGGTAAAAGCTCTGATCTCAGTAAAACTGAGATTAAACACCAGTATCCAAATCCAATACGAGCTGTTATTTACTCTGTCTCACCTGTGAACATAAGAGAAAGCTGTGGCAGCACCCATGTGAAACTCTCTTGTGATCAGACAGACAGCAACCGTGGACTGTTTTTACTTCCTCACAATTCTATACTTTTTAAAGCACTTATTTCTAGGGACTGCAGTCATTACATTAGCAAGTGTGCTAATGGTGCTGTTATGCAAGTTAGTATGCCACTTACATGCATGCTTCTGTAGCTGCAGTTTCCTGTCACTAAAATCCCATGTCTTCGTAAAAACAGTTGGGAAAGGAGCCAATCCTTCTACTCTCAACTTAACAGACTTTACTGAAAGTATCTTGAGACAATAACTTCATAACCAGCCCTAGGGCAGCCACACACCGTGACCAGTAGGGTGTGCCTAAGTGTAGCAAAAGGCTATCACTTTTGCTGACCAGGACAAAATCTGCAGGATGCCACAGTGTCATGCATGATACTGGGATTTAGGAGAAATAAAACCAAAGTAATTTTCTATGATACACAGCACAGTAAAGGTTCCAAGAAACATTCCTCATCTTAAGATACTCCTCTTATCAGCATATAGGATGCAACTCTTCTTTAACACCAATGAGCAGAGTTCTGCAGATGTTAGCAGAGAGCTGGTTCAACAGTATTTAAATTATCCTGGAAATTTTAAGTTACCAGTTCATAACTACAGCTTCCTAGAAAAGCATTTGTTCATGCTTCCAAAATATAGTATTATTAATCCTGTCAGTTCTACAAGTACAGTATGCATTTAAAATCAAATTGAAATCTCAAATGGTATGGACTGCATCTATCTCCAACACAGCCTAAACAATGTCTCAAATTAGCATAAACTGTTTTACGTTGATGTTATTTTAAAAAAAAATTATTATTTTAGTATTAATACAAAAGCAACTACACTTCATAATCTTTTATAAGACTTTGAAGGTATAAAATGTTACTTCTATTAACTTATTCTCATATCACCACTGTGTGGAAAACATTCTTCTCACTGTGCAGGTGGAGAAAAAGAAATGGAGGAGCAAAAGTAAACACTATTATCACACACAAATGTGTGCCAATCTTGGAATTACAATTTAAATGCTGGATTTTAATCCCACAGTAACTTCTTTTGAGTAATATTCTATCTTTTATTTAATGTTGCTCACAATGATAGACGAGTATTAACTAAGAATGAAAAAGGAAAAGAATGACTATTCAACATATAGACGTTGCCTAAGTGTATAAAAGAGTAAGTTCTGATCAAAACAAACTTTGCGTGAGAAAGTGACCAAAACAACAAAAACCAAGACTGTATGCTCCAGTGCCATTTACAAGTGCACAGGGCTTTGTTCTCTCTCCTCAAGGACAGTCCAGAATCTCTAACATAAACTGATCATTTCATGACAACACTGCAGTATTGCAAGTTCTGCAGTTAAGTGTTCAGATTTAATGACTGCAGAAAACAGCATGTAAAGATTCTGCTCAGCACTCTGTTCCTGAGCACTGGGTAACGTGCTCAGCATACAACGTGCGTCCAAAAATGTAATAAAGGAAAGGGCTGTGTTTGTTCTTTCCAGGAAGAAGTACTGTTGAACGTCAACAATGCCAAACAATCCTATCTGGAACTGAAGAACTTTACAACATTCACGTTTAAACACCACTATCATTAATTATATTTTTGTTCCTCCTGCTCAGTTTCTTCACTACTCACAACAGCAAGTACACATCACCTTTTACTGGAAAACCCCATACACTGCTTGCTTTACCACGGATTAAGTGATATAACAGGTGGTATGTAATAAAGA